GGAGGATGGTAGACTTGAAGATGACATCTGAGCTGTGGTTATCATCATACACAGGCACACCCCCCCATAGGAATATACACACACACTTGTATGCTCACATTCTCTCTCACAGGCAGACATTACAAAGGTTTTGTTTTGGTTTGTTTCTTTTTTGTTTTAAGACCAACCCCCATTACGATCAGTTTTCCACTATTCTAACAAATAGTACTCCTCTATGCTACTTTCCAATCTTGTGTTCGTAGACCTATGGCTAAAAAAGAAGATCCCTGAAATGTGGCCAGAAGTCTCAGCTCTCTGTTAATGTAGCTGTCTGATGTTGGGCAAGCCCTAGTATATGTCACCTAGCAAGAGCATGGAGGCGAGAATGTGTCATCCTGGGTAAGGCTTCTTCCACTAAAGACCAAACACTTGGAAATTAGAGAACACAGAACTAGAAGATGTATGTACACAGAATTGCCTTACAAGGTAAATTGCAGAAATCTAGAGGTCCTTGAAGAGAAGACTGAACTGCAGATCCTTTGTAAAGCCATGAATTAGTTTCCTCTCCTCAGCTGTTAAGTGGAGCCTCCACAGACTGAGAAATACAAAAAAACTACAAAGCAAACAGGAGGCAACAGGGGACTAAAGATGCCCCACCCCACCCCCAGCAATGACACCAGTGATTGACAGGTCTACAAAGCTGTCTAGAAAGGAGGCTGGGAAAGCTTTCAAAACCTCACTCTCCCTGATGGTGGAGAATTACTACTGTTAGATTTGAAAGGCTTCTGAAACCTCCCAGAATTTGTAATTTTGTCGTTCATCTGCTATTCCCCTAATGTGATTAGCAGTTTTAAAAATATCATAAAACTAAAAAATATCTATGTTCTTAGCAAAAGCCGATGTAAATGGCCTCTTATTACATACCCTCTGCATCAGCCTAAAAGGGAAGGTTGTGGCAGAGATGTAAAGAATCAAGGAAAAAGGGATCCTTCATGATGACTATCATAATTACACACTAGCATTTCTCTTGCATTTCCATTCTTAACAGCCCTGATATAAGCACCACTATCATCTACATTTTATATTTTGAGGAAACTGTGATTTAGAAAAGGACAAAGAAAGGAATTCACATGAAATTATTAAAAATGAAAATAAATCAGCATGAAATGGTGATATAACCATGTGTCAATAGACTCCCATAGAACTCTTTTAATCCCTACTGGAGGCTATTCAGAAAGCTGTGAGGAGCACTGGGGAAAGGGATGGAGGAATCTGCAAAGGCATGACTAGGGACCATTTCTGCTATGAGGTACAAAGTGTTGGAGAATCCTGCAACAGCTACATCTGAGAGGCAAAGGAAACTTACATGCAGCCTTCTTCAGAGGGTTTATTGTTGTTTGGTTGTATTCACAGGTGAATTGTAATTACTAACCGTTTGAAGCAGTGCAGGAGTTTCGGAGAGTTGAATGTGGCAGATGAAGTTATTCATCTCTTGCAGATAGTAAGCAGAGAGACAAAGAGGTGAGAGGCGGGATACCCCCAAAGACCTGATCCTGCCACGTACTTCCTCCAGCTACTTCTCATTGCTCAAAATTTCCAGAACCTATACTCACTTAATGTAGGTGATAATGGTGTGACTGGAACAATATATGAAGCCACTGGAAGTAGGTTCAAGATCTAACACTAATGCACAAACTGAATAGAGGAGTCCATTCTATATGAAGAGATACCTTGCTCAGTCTAGACACAGGGGTGTGAGGGGTAGAGAGGTGCCTTGGTCCTGCTCAACAAGATGATGAGATAGACCTAGTAGACTTCCTAGGGGAAGCCTTACCTTCTCTGAGGAGCAGATGAGAGATGTGGGGGGAGAGGTGGGAGGGGGAACTGGGATTGAAATATAAAAAAATAAATTAATAAAAAATGCAAAAAAAATTTCCAGAACCTTCCAAACTAGCATCACCAGGAGCTGGGAGACAGTCTTTCTGTTAAAAATGTACTTCCTGCTTTTCCAGAGTCCCAGTTCTCAGAATGCAAATGGGATGGCTTTGCATTCCTATAACTCCAGCTCCAGGGGAACCCACATAACCCCCCCCTCTCTCTCACACACACACACACACTCACACGGACGCGGACACACAGGCACAGACACAGACACTTGTAAATAAAACAGCATCAGTAGCTGGGAATACAGCTCCCTCACACATGAGCTTTTGGAGAGCCTCCAAACACTTGATATTCAATATAACACAAATAGCAAATAAGAGATAACTATTAGAGATGGACTTCCAGGACAGGGAATCTGAGAGTTGTGTGGTCTCAGGACATTTAGACCCCGAATTCCTATCAAAGAGATCCTAAATGAAGTCATCCATGAAAATACCTTAGTGTTGAACCAGCACTTAATATGTCCCTCTTACAACATAGTCCTCTTTCACAGTATAGCCCACAGACAAGGCAGCGAGAATTCTGTTTGCTGGGATTTGGCTATGAAGAAGTCAAATGACAATTGTCAGGGACAGTATTGTAAAGAAAACATCAGAGGACATCTTGATCTCTTGTAATTCAATATAAACTAGTTTAAGATTTGGATGGAATGATAGGTAATAGTCTTGTGAACAACTCTGCCTGTCTTCCATCACATTTCTCCTTCCTGCATTCTCTTTGACTTGAAAACAGCACCCACCTTTAACCTAATCCATGAATAAAGAATGACTAATCTTGACAGCTAACCTCCCCTACGTTGTCAGCTTCTAGTCCAGATTTCTATCCACCCCCACCATGAGTTGGTACAAGTCAGAGCTTCTTAACATCAGAACCCCCTCACCTCTCCTCTCGATTTATAGTCCTACATTAAGACCCATCAGCTCCCTTCCACTCAGGACTGTCTGTCCCCTCCTCCGAAACCATCTTCTGAGCCTCCAGGAGTGATGCCACATTGCCTCCTCCACACAGTTGGAGGATAGAAGTTCTCTCTAATAAACACAAAGGCGCTCTGACTCTGTTCATGAGAACAAGAGACGAACACGATGACATGTTCTTGGGGGACTGAAAGAACAAAGAGAACAAATGGCTGTATCAAGTATAGGGAGGATATGGAGAAGCAGATAATCTGTGGGAGGAAAACCAAGTTGCCTCAGCCTTTTCCAAGGACAATTTTGCAATAGCTATTAAATTTAATAGTGCACATTTTTCAACATAGCATCTCTGCTTCATTGCCAGCTCTCCTAAAGAAATACTTGCATAAATACTTCAGGAAGTACTCGGGCTGAAGGAAGTGCACAGTTACACTGGGTATAATAGTAAAACCTGGGCAACTGAAGTGCCAGTCAACAGGTAGTGAAATAGCACAAAGCAGCTTAATGTGACAAGGCAGATCTCTACACAGAATGAGAAAGGAAACGGTCTGATGTACAAAGGAAGTGAATAAAACCAGATGCAAAGCCTTCATGTGGCATTAGCGGATCTTTTTAAAAAAGACATACACAAGGAAAAGGAACAAATGAGAACTAGCAAGTAACAATGGCAGTCAAGTTTACAGAGTGTGAGGCAGGAAGAGGCTGAAAGGCTGCATTCTGTTTTACAGGTTTCAGAACTGGTGTAGCACTGTGGAGGAGAGGGTAATCATGACAGAAATGAATAGAAACAAGCAAAGAGTAGGGACAACTTGCCCAGTCCAACAGAAAATCTTCATAAGGACCCTTTGTAAAAAAAAAAAAACTGTATCTAGTAGAGCCGGTGTGGTAGCCCACACTTTAATCCCAGCACTTGGACGTTAGAGGCAGATAGATCTCTGTGAGTTGGAGGGCAGCCTGGTCTACAGAGAGAACTCTAGGCCAACCAGGAGTACACAGAGAAATCTTGTCTCAAAAAATCAAACAAGCAAACAAATGGATCTTGTAGGGCTGGGCAGATAGCTCAGCAGCTGAGAGCATTTGCTGGTCTTTCAGAGAGGACTTGAACTCAGTTTCCAGCCCCCACACTCCTGGCTCACAAACTCCTGAAATTGCAGCTTCAAGGGATCCAATGCTTCCATGAGCACCCACACATGTATGTCATTCATTCACACAAACACATACACATACGTGTAAATCAATATAAATCTCATGTGGGCCAGTGAGAAGACTTAGTGGGTAAAGGCCTTTACAGCACAAACTTGATGAGTGCAACTCCCCAGAACCCAGATAAAGGTGGAAGAAGAGAAATGACTCCACGACGTTGGCCTCTGACCTTTGTGTGCATGCCATGGCACACATGTCACTATTCACAATAATAAAAATAGCAAGTAAAAAAATTTTAATTAATGCATAGAGTATAAGAATGTACAGTTTTTGTCCCAGGTTAGTTTTTGGTTTTTTTTTTTGTTTTGTTTTGTTTTTTCTGGATGGACATATAGCAGGGCTTTGTGGGAAACAGAAAGAAATAAAAAATCAATTAAGAGAGCTCAAATAATGGGTTTTGTACCAGTTACAAACAAGTTTATGCCATCAATACTGGAGATAAATTTTATAAGGTTACTCTCAATAGGAAAATACACATATAAATAAGGCAATAGTACAAAATTATCTATAATTAAAAAAACAAAAGAACCCCCCAAAATTATCTAGAATGTTCTAACTAGTAATATAGATTATGTCAGGAGAAGGGGCTGCGATTAAGGATAAAATGTGTAAGGGAATTTTGTTTCACATAGTTCTGTCTCCCTTCACAAAAGCACATGGTTTAAAATAAATAAATGGCAGGTTAACAAATGGAAAGGAGATTTGTTTACTACTATCCCTGGCTTCTAGTCAGAAATTGAGGAAAAAGAAGGGCCACAAGAGAGGGGCCTGAGAAAGCAAAGGCAAGAGTGTTTCACTTTCCTCCTGTCTAGCTAGAGGATGTGGGAGACAACCACAGTGGAACCAAAATAGCTGATTCCAAGAGCCACAGACAGACACCAGAGTGTTCCCAGGGCCAGAGGCAAACCACTCAAAAAGCAGAGAGACCTCTCTGACCTCGATGCTGAGATGTCTCACACTCACCCGTTTCCTGTGTCATCTGCTGTGAAGTTGATGGAAGAATCCAAGCTTCGGACCCTTGGAAAAACAGAGAATGAAGTCCTCCTAAATTTGCAGCCAGAAGTGTAATAGTAAATATGACAGAGGTGTCATGTGCAGGCCTCCAAACTCCATGGATTAAAGGGCGTTATCTCCCTCCTCCCACTTGACCTACCCTCCTCCCTGCAACCACACACTGTCCTGATGCCAATGTGCTCCAGGTGGACATGCTGACACAAAGGACTGGGTCACTGCTGGATCACTTTTCTTCAGCATTTGTATCTCCCCAGCCCAAGGTGGAAGGGAAGACACAAGCAGTATGTTCTGCATACCTGTGGGTATGAGCAAGGCTGCGCCTGCAGACGTTGTCACCCCGCTGGATGAAGAAACAGTTTCCGATTCTGCAGGAAAAAAATTTTTCTTAAGCTGCTAAAAAAAAAATAGCATCAACAGTGTGGTGGGTGATGGAATTCAGGACGATTTTTATTATCATCTTTGTTATTATTGACACATCTCCAGTTTTTAAAAACCTCAATAATTAGAGGTGATTTTAAAATTAAAAAAAACAGGTTATATTTTTTTGTTTCAAGATGATTATTAGATTGGGGAGATGACTCAGACAATGTAAAGTGCTTGCCACTCAAGCATGAGGACCTGTGTTTGGATCGCTGGTACTCATGTAAAAAGTTGGTCATACTGGTATGTGCCTGTAATCCCGGCAGGGGGAGCAGAAACAGGCAGACCCCTGGAACATGCTTCCCAGGTATTCCAGCTGAAAATGTGAGTCCCAGGTTCAGTGAGAGACCCTGTGTCAAGAAACAAGTTGAATAGTGATTGAGGGAGGCACTCAACCTCAACTTCTGGCACCTCCCCCCCCCGCACGTGCACACACACACACACACACACACACACACACACACACACACACACGATGATTGTTTTAAAATACAAAGGAACAAAAACATGCAAAATTAGATTAATTGAGAGCTCAAGGATTTTAGTGACTATTCAGAATACAATTGACCAATTCAATATTGGAAAGCTGTCTAAATTATCCAGGCCTTTTTGTAACAGCTGGATTGCCTGGAAAAGCAGTGAAGCTACCTCACAATGGTTTTCTGATATTTTTACTTCATAATCAGAAGCATTGTGGGAGCCTTACCAAGTCTCGGAGTAGGTCACCCAGAGTTACAAGATTCATGGTGAAGAAAAAATTCAGAACAAAATAGAAAGAAGTTAAGAAACAGGTATATAAGTGATTTCTGTTAAAGAATATATCTTACATCTTTTAAAAGGCTTTATTGACATATGTTAATTATACATAATGGATTTATTACATTTTGATATGTGCATATATTTTGATTATACTTACCCCATTACCTTGTCTTATGTCCTTCCCAATCTTGTTGATCCCCTTCCTCTTCTCTCTCTCTCTCTCTGCTCTCTCTGTGAGAGAGAGAGAGAGAGCAGAGAGAGAGAGAGAGAGAAACCCATTGCAACAATTAGAGATGTTTATGGGAGCATAGGTGATAGATCACTTACAGCTTCATGGGCAGTTTACCACTGGCTACACTACTGAAACAAGTGCCTCTTCCCAGCAACCATGAGCTAGGAAAGAGTGGGTATCATGAAACCCCTCCTCTTAAAAATTTAAGGCCACTAATTATCCATCTTACTTCAACAAATCTCAAACATTCAGACAGAATTTTATCCCTGAGGGGATAGGCCCAACTCTGAGTAGAATTTGGCCCAGGATAACCTTCAACATACAGATTTTGCAAGACTCATCAGAGGTCAAGTGGAGAACCCAAAATGCTGACTTTGCACAAATATAAAGGAAAAGAAACCCCCCACACACACACACACATGAGTGCACTGGGTTGCCCAAAGTAGAAGAATCCATTCCAAGGAAACTACATGTCTGACCAGCAGAGGAGACAGAATGGACAATTCTTACCTGCAGTGATGGCAGACCCCTTGGTGAAGATCTCAGTGGTTGTAAAACTTGTGGTTTCTTGCAAGAGTGAGCCAGGCATAGTGGAGGGGCACGTGGTTGCTGCTGTTGTGAGGACAGAGGTGGCCAGTGTCTGGGGTGGTATTGCAGTTGTGGGTTCAGGTGTGGTCATGACTGTCGTTGGAAACTCTGTGGTGGTAGCCACGTAAGGGGTGGTAGTTGGGCGAGTGGTTGTGGTTGGTCTTGTGGTTGTTGGGGCTGTAACCAACAAAAAACTGCATCTGGCACCAAGCAGAGATGGGGAGTAGGAAACACCACAAACACAACCCAAGACCTTTCCACTTCTGTTGGCCTTACTTGCTCCATTGGTCTGGACCAATTGCTACAGCTGTTTCTTGCCTACATTTCTGTACTTTCCGGTCTATTTGTCACACTCTAGCTACAGAAATCATATGTATGTATGTATGCATGTATGTATGTATATATATATGTATATATCTATGCATATATTTTTAAGCAGGAAATGACCCTGCATAAAACTCATCAGCCGTTCTCCTCTATCACGTTTAAAAAAACAAACCACTTAGAACTGCTTGTTGCCCTGTAAGATGCCACCTGTGCTTCTGTCATTTCAATCACACATTGCTGGAAGAGAACCTTCTCACTCTCCTCAGACAACTGTCCTGTCTGTATTTCTTTCACTGCAACCATGACCTTCTAGCTGCAGCAATGCCTGCAGCTGCTGTACCTCATCCTCATTCCAACTGCTGATCCCCTTCAGTAGGCTAGCCCTTACCGTGCTCTCAGATCTCATCTAAAAGTTCTCTTTTATGCAGTAGCAAGTCTTAACTACCATATGCCCTAATACTTGATCACAATGGCATCTATTGTATTTTTATAACTACACATTTATTTGCTTATTATTCTTAATGTCTACTTCTCATACCAAACTATCAGCACAAGGAAACCAGGCATTTGTTCTTGTTCTCTGCCATGAATCCAATACCTATCACAGTGTCTGGTTTTGTACAAATAAATCAATACATAGAAGTGAGCCCATAGCCAGGAGTCACAGAGCACACACACAGTCCTAATCCTTAGAAACCTGAGACAGGAGGATCTCCAGTTCAAGGTCAGCCTAGGCTATGTAGTGAGAATCTATCCCAACCATAAAGAAAGTAAGCCAGACCTGTGTATGTGACTTTGGGTGAGAATGAAGACTGCTATGTGATTGTGTCAACCTCTCTTGCTTCATTAACATAGATTTGGGGTTCATTATATGCAGTTTATTGTATGGCTCTCTCCCTCTCCAGAATATGCCAAGTTGTTTTAGGCTTTAATGAAGCAAAATGATAACATTTGTTCCACTCAACTTGGAATTGTTCCTGCAGAGTATTAAGGCCAGCAATATTTATAAACTAGTAACTAGCTAAGATACCATGTCAATAAAGAGATGACTCTTGTTGAACTAACATCAATACATTTCTCTTTCCTCTTTGATATCATAAAGTTGCTGTAAGAGTAAAATATGCAATTATGCACGGGAGATCACTAATTAAAATCATCCAGTTCCAAATTTAGGGCACATGAGAGCCATCTGAGAAGACCTATTTCCTAAAAATGCTTATTGTTCACAGACGTCAGCCATAAACTCCATGTGGCCTGTTCTACACAGCCCCAATCTTTAAGAGTACCTTCACATCCCAAATTTAACCCAAGGCATCTGATAGGAATGGAAAGAAGGAGGGCATGAAAACAGCCAGGGATTGGTGCCCAATGCCATGCCCATCCTCTCTCTGCCAGGAGTCACAAATCATCTGCTCATAGACTAAAACTGATCCATGGATACTATACAGTTAACATGGTAATTTTTTATTATCATGTGGAAATCAGTCAATACAAAAAAATATGATTCACATAATTGGGAGGCCCAAAAACATTGGACTGAATTTCTGTCCCCAGATAGATAGTACCTCCCGTCTTCCGTCCAACTCTTCCATTTATCAGCTGGATCCCCTCACTCATTTCTGTGGCTGTCCTGGCTGTGATCAATATGTGGATTTCCCTGCTCACACTCTGCGGCTCACCACTTGAAATCCAGCCCCTCCCCCGCCTTGCTCAAGTAAACCTTGCTTCTCCACCAGCACCCACTGAACTAATCTGATACCACAAACCACAGAGCTCTCTCTCGGGTTGAGCCCCATTGTTTCCATTACCTCTCCTCAGCTCCAGGTGCACAGTCTTCTTGACATCATTGAACCAGCCAGGCACCTCTATACGGCAGCAGTACACACCACTGTCACCTTGATTGGTGTTTGAGATGGTCAAGGACACCTCGCCCTGCCAGATATTCCCCCGAAGTGTGTATTTTAGCGACTTCCTGGAGGTAACTTTTCTTCCATCTGTGTGGATAAGCTCCTGGCTGCACTTGGAATTGGGACATGCGCCTTTGCCCCAGCACATGCTGTTGCGGCTCTGGGACCAGGATGAGTAACGACAAGGCAATGTCACTGATTGGCCCAAAAGCCCTATTACTTTATCCTCTGAGGCAGCTGGTGCTAAGGGGAGAACGAGAGAGCTGTTAGTTTTGCAGATCAAAATCTCCGGAATACACTTCACCATTTGTATACAAACAGAGGCTTCCAGGAAGACGAGGGAGGGTCCTTAGTTCCTTTAGCACAAATGTCAGTGTGCTTTCCTGTTCCCCTGGGCACCTAAGTCCATAAGTGTCCATCCCAAAAATTACTGACAGCTGGTCTGGAATCTCTAAACACATCTCCACGGAAAGACCTTTTCTCTCTCCTCTTGCTCTCGAGTGCCATTGAGTAAGACAACTCCCAAATGAAGAACTGCACCCTATAATCTCGGTCATATATTTCACCTAAAGCCACCCCGAACTATGCCAGCCCCAGCATCTCACTAAGCAGACATTGCATGCTGTTGATTGACTGTCTTTCATGGGTTACCCAGCCCAGACAGAATTCCGACAGGAAAGAAAGCTGCTGAGGTGGACTCCATTTTCCTACTCCATGTTCAGAAACGGAAGTGGGACTTGCTCACTCCGGATCATCTGTTTGCTGCTAGGTAATATGAAGTTAGGGAGAGTTCGTGAATATGCACTTCTTTACTGTTTTTAAATTTTATTAGTGTGTGTATTTGGGAGGGGTTGTATACATGCTACAATGAGTGTTTGCTGGTCAGAGAGTGTTTGTGAATTGGCTCCTTCCTTCCACAGTCACATTGGCTCTGGGGATTGAACAGAGGTCTTTAGGCGTTAGAACATTGGTTCTCAACCTGAGGGTCACAACCCCTTTTGAAGCCCCATATCACATATCCTGCATATGATATTTACATGACAATTCATAACAGTAGCAAAATTACAATTATGAAGTAGCAACAAAATGATTTTTGTGGTGGGGAGTCACTGTACCATGAGGAATTGTAGTAAAGGGTCACAGCTTTAGGAAGAACCATGAGAACCATGGCTCTAGTGCATATACCTAGAGCCATCTTGCTGACCCTAATTTATTTACCCACTGAGCCATCTTGTTTACCCTAACTTATTATACTTTTTAAATTTTGTTTAATAATTTCTCTCCTGCATATGTTGTATTTCTGATAAAAATCTAATTGTCTATTCTTTCTCCTCCAACCTCTCCCCAGTTGCCCCCACACCCTTCCAACATCATGTGCTCTCTTGTTTAAAAACCTAAGTATGTTCACATAGTGCTGCCAGTATGTACGTACATGTAGGGTCATCTATTAGAGCATGGATAGCCTCTCATGGGCCACAACCCTGTCCCTCTCCTGGCAGTCATCAATTGCCAACAGTTTTTTTACTAGGGGTGGTACTTGATGACTAGCTTAACAGTCATGCTATGATTTTGTTGGCTTGATCCTGTGTGGGTCTTATGCACACAGTCACAGATTCTGTTTCACTTATTTACTCTTTTTTTAAAAGATTTATGTGATTTCATTTAATGTGTATGAGTATTTTGCCTGTATGCTGCAAACATATTGCATGTGTGCCCAGTACCTTCGGTAACCAGATGAAAGGAAAGGACTGGCACTTGGCACAAAGATCAAAAGGGACTTATACTTTTTACTGTCTTTAAACTTTTTACCCAGAAGTTTCCATATTACTCACCTGATAAAACATTACTATAAAAAAAGGAAGCATGAAACTTAGTGTGGCCGAAAAATCCCCATTGGAGCAACACTGTGTGCGTCACTCTCCCCCAGTGTGTGTTTTGGGGTTCTTGAAAGAAAGCTACACATACATACACATATGTAAGTATGTGATAATACTAGACGGTAGTACTTTCCACAAAAGGAATGCCAAGGCTCATATGCCAAGAAATATAGAGAAATTAACCCTCGTGGAAGTCCTAACAGCTTCAGAATGAAGAACCACACACATTAAATACAGAAACAGGATGGTAATGGTTTCCTTCAACTATGGAAGTACCAGGGAGAAAAGAAATCACAGCAACCAAATCAGTTTCTCATGTGCATTCCCCAGATTACAGGTGTGTATGAATGCAACTTCCCAGCCACTGCCAGCCTGCTCCTTCTCCAGCTTTAGGTTCCTCCCCAATCCAAATGTCACTTTGCCAGCGTGAAGATGTCATGAACCACCTCTTCAGACATATCTACTTTTGATCCTTGAAAACTCTGAGTGGTGACGGTCTTCGCAGTTGACCATTTAAGTAAAGACAATAGATGGATAGATAGATAGATAGATAGATAGATAGATAGATAGATAGATAGATAAGCCAAGCATAGTGATACACACCTGTAATCCCTATTCTCAGTAGGTAGAGACAGGAGCCTTGCAAGCTGGAGGGAGCTCCTAATGCCTAGCAAGGCTTTATGTCAAAACTAAACAACACTGAAATAAGCAAACAAAAAGATCAGTTCACCAGGCACTGACTCCTTCAAACGAGGCTGGAACAACCTATCAGTCACTGTACAGCCACAGATAGGACATGAGGACATAAGCCCCAGCAATATTTCCTGTAGTTTTGCTATATAACAAAAGCTTCTTAGACCAGGTTACTTGTTATCCCAGTAACCAGGAGGGTGAGGCAGGAGAGTCCCAACTTGAAGTCCAATGTGGGTTACATTGTTAAACACTGTCTCAAATAAATGTAAGTATGTAAGTAATAAAGAAGTGCTCAGGCAAAATTTAAAGAGAAGATGTGAAAACAAAAAGGACTGCTTCCATTCCATGAATTACTTCTAGAATGTCTGTACTCCTGCCATCAAGTGCCAAGTTACAGGAGATGAAGCAGTCCTTACCCACCCCCTGGGTGGTACAGAGGACCTAGGGGTAGAGGCAGTAGAATGAACACTTAGTGTGGCGACAAGGTCTCTAACCCGGGAACCTCAAAGATAAGAACTCAGCAGAAACCCCTCAAACTGGAAACATGAGGTAAACAGAAAAAAAGCTTGAGTCTACTGGAGACCTGGCTTGACCTCCCTCAAGAATGAGAGAAAGAGGGGGAAGTGGAATGATGCAAGACATATTCACACTGTCACCAATAGTGACCGGGAGGGCTACAGCCCTAAGCGGAGTGGTTGCTGGGCACTTCAGGGTATTCATGCAAGCTGAATACCCTGTGTCATACAAAGCTTGCAAACAATGTGCCAAAGAGAAACCTCCCCTTAGCTGGGTACAGAAACACCTACCTGTAAACACTCAGGAGGCTGAGGCAGGGTAATTCTTGCCTTCTAAGCAGTCTGGGCTACACAGTGAGAGCCTACCTCAAAGAAACAAAAGCAAGGGCCAGGCATGGTGGGACACACATTTAACCCCAACACTTGGGGGGGGCAGGCAGAAACAGGTGGCTCTCTGTGTGTTTGAGGCCAGCCTGGTCTATATAGTGAGTTCTAGAACAGGCCCTACCTCAAAATATAAAAAGGGTGAGGCGGGGAGAAGAAAAGAAGAGAGAACCCATTTTGCAGCCCTATTGCTAGCAAAACAAAATAAAATAGAAAGCAAATAAAATCTCCTAAAAGCAAAGGGAACAATAAACTTTTTTTAAAAACTTAGCAGAACAAAGCCCCTGCCTCTTGCTTTGTAATGCCTGCAGATGGAATTTCTCACACGTTCGTTCGTCACCTTGTTTCTTCTACACCATCACTTAAACTGTTATTTCTAACCTAAGCACAGATTAACTCACCCCTGGGACTCCCAAATTAGTCTGTAGGGAAAAAAAAAAGATTCCCATGTATCAAGGCAAGGAAGACATCCTATAAATGTTCAAGTAAAGAAGGAGGCAGGCATTAGTGGAACCCCATTACCCTACAGGCTACCCTCCCCAGGGCATGAAAAGGAAGCCTCCAGCACACTTACTCAGATAAAGCCACCAGAGCTCCATCACCAGCCAGAGGAGGAGAAGCTCCCTGGACATTTTGACAGGAGTCTGTGTGTCTGTCAAAACCCATGCCTTATATCACAATTACTGCTGACAGGGTGGGACACTGGGTTTCACTTCTCTTTCTACCTCACAGTCTTCCTGTTCCCTTATCCTGAGTGACCTCCCTCAATCTGGAATATGTGATCAAATGTGCTGATCACATGGTGGCCAATGCATGTGTGAAAATGTGTGGAGGGACAGTGTGAGTGCCAATGTGCTTCTCTGTCCTTTGTCCGGCATGCACCTGAGCATCTGTGTGTGTGTGTGTGTGTGTGTGTGTGTGTGTGTGTGTGTGTGTGTGTGTGTGTGTGTGTGTGTCAACTACAGAAGTCTCAGTGTTCCTTGCGGTGGCCAAAGCAAAGGTAAACTGGTATTTGACTCCACTCCCTTTTTGGGTATTCATCGTGGATACTCAGCCCCTTGCCTTCACAACTGAAAATGAAAAGGAGGATGTGATTAATCACTGAAGAAGATCCACTACCTACACTACCAGAGCTTATTAGAACCAGGAAGAAGAGCTCCAGTAGAGGAAGCTCACCAGGGTGGTTCCAAAACAGGTCTGCCTGCAAGCAGACCCACAGATGATCACTACTCACAGGGACAAGCCCAAAGGATACGTTGGAAACAAGATGATAGGGCCTGAACAAAATGGTTTTGTAATTCTTTAGGATCCTATAGACACAGTGACATACCCAATTCTACCTAAACTAGCCAGAGGAAAAATTAGGCCAATCCTTGCCATCCAGATCAGAACTAATACAAAATATTGTGTCCTGGAATAGAAAAAGACCATTAAGTTGGAGATGGTACCGTGGTCAAGAGCACTTGCTGCTCTTGCAGAGGACCTAGGTTCTGTTCTCAGAACCAACATGGCAGCTCATAACTCTGTAAATCCAATTCCAGGGAATCTAACACCCTCTTCTGGCTTCTTTAGGTACCATGCATGCATACAACATACCATCCTCAGCTGTCCTGTATTCTTCATGTCTTTACCACCTCGCTTCTTCACGTTGGAAGATTTGTGTCTGGATTACATGCCCTTCCTTGTTTTCAGTAAACATGGTTCAATTGCAGTTGATTTTGACTGGGGTCATGGTGATTGGCTCAATGCTAGACAAGTAGCCCAAACTGAATTAATTGTGAGACAATTTGGGGGTCTCCTGGGAAGTTGGGATCCCTTTCATTTTCTGCTTGATCTTTGATCTCTGAGGATATGAGTCTAAAATACACACTAACCATTGTGCCACCAATGAGCAAAGCTGCCAAACAGAGAACTGGTCAAGCAGAGAAAAGGTGGTGAATAAAGCATGGCTGGTCTGATTTAATTCAGGCTCCTTAAATAAGGACTTCAATGAGCCAACAAATTCTCTTTAGAGTTAAGGCAATTTGTGATAGATTCTGTCCTTTGGAATTTCAGACCCAGAAAGTCCTTTGCACCAAATCCTAGATTTTCCAGGTATTGCTGCCATGTTTCTGGGCTCACTTCCCCTGCAGTCCTCTCCACTCTTGATGCTTCTGTGAAGGAGGAATAGGTCACTCATCATTTTCACCTCCTATCATTGCTCCTCTTGGGTCTGAGAAGAGAGTAGAAGAATGCCCAACCACCTCTGTGCAGGGTCCTTCCTGCAGGTTGTTGGGGGAAGTCCTGTGCATTTGTCAATAAAGCACTGTCTGGCCAATAGGGAATCTAGATAGGAGAGACTAGGAGTCCAGAAGGACTCTGGGTAGGAGAAACACAACGAAGTCGAGATGTAACCACCATGGGGTAGGAAGCCCGGAACTATTCTCCAGTAAGAAACATACTTAGATTAGCAATTATGGGGTAATTACTTAAGTCAGAGCTAGCCAGTAAGAAACAAGCAAGGCCTACAGCTTCATAATTAATATAGCCTCCTGTGTGTTTATTTGGGACTGATGTGGCTCTAGAACCAGGCTGGCTGAAAGGTTTCTCTCAAAGAAAAAGCTTCTCTTTACAGTATGGTGTCAGAAGTGGGATTGAATTTCCACATAGAATGACAAAAGCTTTAAAGGAATTTTAGAAACAGAAGAATGGAGAGAAGCACAGATTTTTGATAGCAGCATTTTTCTCAGGTGTTTTGCTAGCGACAAGCCGAGATTCACGCGGCTTGCTTACCGGAGTCTTCCTGACTCGGCATAAAAAAAAACAAAAAACAAAACAAAACAAAAAAAAAACAGCCAGCAAGGTTGTTTTAAGAGACTCTGCTAACGATTGAAAGGTGTGTACGTACAGCTGGAAGTGGCAGCTTTTGCTGGATGTCAGCATGGACTGAGGCTGTAAGTTGAAATCACGCTTACGCCCGCCATCTTGAAAAAAAAGGCAGTTTAAACTGCCACGGTTTTAACAGATAAGACACGTGGCCAGAAAAACATAAAGATTTACAGTAAAGTCAGACTTGGATGAACAAAACCTCTAAAGGTTTACAGTGTGTTTAAAAATATAGGATTGAGAGAGAAAAAGAATCGGGCATAGTGGTAAATATATAGAAAAGCCGGGCATTAGTGGTGCACGCCTTTAATCCCAGCACTCGCGAGGCAGAGTAAGATTTGCTGCAAAGGCAGAAGCAGGCGCATTTCCAAAGAGAAACCCTGTCTCAGAGAAAAAGAAATAAAAGTAAAAGAAATAGAGTAATAATAGATAAATAAGCCACGTAAAGATGGAAAATACACAGAAAGTCTGGATACTGTCCGCTATTGTGTTTTTCAGTTTTTTCATTGCTAAGGAAGGAACAACTGATAAAGTGCACTTGCTTATAAATGCTGCTAGATTAATTCAACTTATATCTTTTGAAAATACCTTGACTTCAAAATTTAAGTATAAGGACATGTTACTTGGAAAAGGACTTTTTATTTATGTTTCTACAGAAAATGAAAAGCTGAGGATTCCTTCCAGGCTTCTGTGGTTTGACGAACCAAGACCCCCGGAAACAGTGGACCAGGTGTTCCAAAAATTGAGACAGCTAAGATGATGCAGCTTTACAGACCCTGAAAATACGGACTTATACAGGTTTCTGAGTTTTCTCATGATCCCCATGGTATGAACAGCGCCCCCTTCCAGCAGGAAGCAGTTTAGAATGAGCGACGTCCCAATTCCCATCTTGTTTATAAATCTTTGTTTTCATTTAAATGGGATTGTTTATAATTGGTTAATGATCACAACCAATTTCTTTTTAATGGTAAAATGGGGAATTATGGTATGGGTATGGTTTTTCATTTATTGATACAAATTCAAGGTCAACTTTGTGATGTGTGTATTTCTCCTCTTGATTAAGTATTGTGCTTATACTGATCTTTTAAAACGTAATGCATAATTGAATACAGACTATAGATATTTATTGATAATAGAATTTATAGTTAGGTGAGTTAGGTTTTCTAGATATACAGAAATATATTTGAGATAGATAAACAGCCTTCAAACCTCTCAAAGACCTTCAGAAAATGGCATTTAAAATGGTTTAGGGTTTTTCTTGACAATGAGAAATGTCTACTCCTAGCAGTACCAATTACGTCTGAGAGGAAGATGGGCATCAAAGAAACTTTTTATGGAGTTTGCTTTCAACATGGCAAGATTAGCCATTTGGGCAAGAAACAGCTCTTGCCTGTACTGCTTGACTGTTGTTATATAATCTGGACATGCAGGACCCACAGGAAAGTGACTGCTGAACTCAGTCTTACAGGGTTCCTGCTTCATGGAAGAGTCTACCACACTTTCTACAGGACACAGAAAAATGACTGACAGACTGCCAATGCAGATGGACAGTTTGAAATTTCCTGCTTTGCTGAGAAGTGTTCCAGACACATTGTGGCCTATGGGCTGAAGATGGATGCCCCAACGTTACAGAGGAACTTCGGGTGACTGTCCAGGCAGTAAGATATCTCTGTCAATCCTAGTGTTTATATATTATCCTTCTGTGGTCTTTGATGGAGTTGAAGACAGATAGTTATAATTATAGTTTTCCTTAGTTATGATAAAAGATAAGCTACATATAGGACTTTGGACTCACAAGAATGAGATGGATGATATTTTCTTTAAATCTTGCTAAAATATTGTAACTATGTTCTTATTTGATAACTGTTCTGTTATATATAATTTGACTATGTTAGAGTTAAGACCTTTCTTTTTGTTTAAACAGAAAAGAGGAGATGTTGGGGAAGTCCTGTGCATTTGCCAATAAAGCACTGTCTGGCCAATAGGGAATCTAGATAGGAGGGACTAGGAGTCCAGAAGGACTCTGGGTAGGAGAAACACAACGAAGTTGAGATGTAACCACCATGGGGTAGGAAGCCTGGAACTATTCTCCGGTAAGAGAAATACTTAGATTAACAATTATGGGGTAAATACTTAAGTCAGAGCTATCCAGTAAGAAACAAGCAAGGCCAACAGCTTCATAATTAATATAGCCTCCTGTGTGTTTATTTGGGACTGATGCGGCTCTAGAACCAGGCTGGCGGGAAGGCTTCTCTCAAAGAAAAAGCTTCTCTTTACAGCAGGTAGAGCGGGGGAAGGGCCAGTTCAGCCAGCCTCTTCCCAGGGGCTGAGCTGAGCAGGATGGTGAGTGTCGACTCAGACCCTCCAATTAGTTACGTGGGGGGGGGGTGAGAACACACACTGAGTCAGGAGTCTGTCGAAGCAGGATCTCGATTTATTCCAACATGCAGGAACTTATATAGGACTGAGGTAGGATATGGGAATCTTAGGATAGGGTAAGGTGACGTGAGGAGTTAAGGGCCAATAGTATTCCACCAAGCAGGCAGATAGCTAGGCAGGGGGCAATCTTGCATCAGATCTGGCTGAGTCACCCCCATGTGGAGGTTACAGGTTAGAGACAGGTCCCTAAACTCTAGCCAGGCTCAGGAGCTTACACTGAGCCTTGCATCCAAGCCTTTCTTAGGCCCGACACCTCTGCAGTCTGGTGTTTGAGACAATATAACCACAGTCACCAGCTCCACTCAGCTATCCACTGTCTTTGTGACTCTTACCACATAGTCCATGTCACACA